TTAGATTGACCAAAATAAGCAACTTGGGAATTATAAGCAAAATAACAAAATAATAATAAACATGGCTTGAAAGGGGGGAATTTAATGAGTAACTGAAGGATATAAACAAAATACTTTGTAGATTTTTTAAACCAGGAATATTGAAATAAATGGATCTTTAGAGTTAAAAAAAAAAAAATAGAAAATTATAGGCAAATATTATTATTACTATATTATAAGTTATTCAGAAACTTTGTTGAGACTTCTCTCTGTAAAAGTGGGCAGAAAAGCTACTTGGGAATTATAAGCAAAATGCAATAAACGTGGCTTGAAAGAGGAGACTCTAAGAGTAATTGAAGGATAGAAATAATTTAGATTTATTTAACCAAAAAGATAGAAATAAATGTATTTTTACAGTTTCCAGAAAAAAGAAAACAAAAATGATAGGCAAATACTATAGTATTTATTATAAATTTATAAAATACGTTATTTATTTATATAAAAAAGTTATTTAGAAACTTTGTTAAGACTTCTATGTGAAGAAAAAGATCAGAAAATGTGTAAATTCATACCAGAAATAAATAAGTAAAAGCATTTGTTGATCTTTCAGAATAGCAACTTAAGAATTATAAGCAAAAGTGCAAAAAATATGCTACTTAAGGAATTAATAAATTTTTCAGATTTTCTGCTTTTTTGCAAACCTTAATTTTTCCAGATTTTTCTGCTTTTTTGTAAAACTTAACTTTTTTGACTAGAAAAAAAGCAGAAAAGTCTGGAAAAATTATTCATCCTTCATTGTTCATTTATTTCAGCATAAATAAATTAAGAAATGTATATTTAAAGTTTGGAGAAAAGCAACTTGAGAATTATTAGCAAAAGGTCATTAAATATTCTACGAAAAGTGTCTTTAAGGACTATTTTATGGCTAGAAAAAAAGAACAGAAAAATCTGGAAAAATTATTCAATCTTCTTTGTTCATTTATTTCATCATAAATAAATTAAGAAATGTATATTTAATGTTTGGATAAAAGCAACTTGAGAACTATAAGCAAAAGGTCAGTAAATATTCTACGAAAAGTGTCTTTAAGGACTAGAAAAAAGAGCAGAAAAATCTGGAAAAATTATTCAACCTTCTTTGCTTATTTATTTGATATTAAATACATTAAGAAATATATTATTTAAGTTTCAAGAAAAGTAATAAGAGAATTATAAGCAATATTAAGCAATTAAAGCAAACTCTCTAAAACTTCTAGAAAGCTCTTGAACAACTAGAGAAAACCCCATCAATATGAGGTATAAATATTTCTACTTTCTTATATATTCTACTACAAGTACTCCCTTATTTCTCTCTCTGTTCATGGCGGCAAAAGATCAGTGATCAGTTTAACCGATGGGTGGAGCTGCCTTGGCTCACAAAACACTCTCGGCCTGCTCCAGATGTTTAGCCGCTTGAAGGTGAAGGTACATACATGGAAGAAGAGGAAAAAGTAGCCGATCCCAGTGATTGCAATCAGATCCAAGAGGCTCCTCAAAGGCATCAGGGTTCCAAGTACCTAAAAAGGTACCGAGGTTCCAAAAGATGTGCAATCATCAACTTCAGAGCGAGCGTTGATCAGCCGAAAAGCACTGCCAATTACTCGCTGGCATTGTTGACATGCCATTTGCCATTTGCATCGTTTTGTGTATTTTGGATTTTGTATTTCTTATTGATTTGTTTAACTTTGCAAAGGTTTTTTTCGTGGCCAAGATCCAATCGATCTTTTGCTGCATTTTTCTCCCACGGAGCGTGTGAATCATTGGGAGTTCATTGTGCCCTGTCGATCGCAGCAAATGAAATATGTCAAAAATCTATTGAGAAGCGACGGCATCGATTATCGATACAGGTTGTCCCTCTTCTCCCTCCAATTGATTGCATTCTTGGGTATTGGGCTCTCTCTGTAGGTCAGTTATCGACCCAGTTTACGTGATGGAATCAGTTGGGGGATTTCTTTAAAGGGACCAAAGGGAAAAAAGGTTCTTGTTTTATTTATGAGTGGGTCAAATCCTAATTTAAATAATTATTTAAGTTTACTTTTTCTATAAATATATATATTGTTATTTAATGTGTACCTTAAATACATTTTAGAACCCAAGATTTTAATCATTTTAAACAATAGAAGTAAGTCTTAGCTTTGGTTACTATTCAAGGGTATAAGGAAGACGAGAAGTTTAAGGAAGTTTTTAAGATTTTTATCTTAAAAACAAGTTCCAGAATAGTTTGTAAACCCTGAAAATATTTAGTAAAATATTTGAGTTATTGATATCATCTATATTTTCTTCTATTTTTCTTATATTCAAAATAAGAATACTAAGACTAATCTCTGTTAGGAAGAATCTTTGATTTAAAATCTATTTTAAAATAGTTTAAAAACTTAAAAGGTTTCTGATTTATATGTTCTTATATATATATTGATTTATATGTAAAACAAGATGATTAAACAAGCTAAGACCAAGTTTTTTCTAATAGGTTTTAGTTTAAGGAAGTTCTTAAAATCCTTAAGGTAACGACAACAGAAATTTACTTCGGGAAGCTCAATTTTCCATACTTCTTCATTTTGCAAATGGCTTATGGGATATAATCAATCACAATTAGTTAAAATAATCGCATTCTTAAAATCAATATTTATAGAAATTTTTATACTTTTGAAGTATATATAAGTATCAATAAACATAAAGTAACTATGATCAATAATTAACTATGATCAGTAATTAACTATGATTAGTAAGTATCAATGAACGTTAAGTAACTCTGATCAGTAAGTATCTATGATCAGTAAGAATCAATGAATATTAAGTAACTATGATCAGTAATTAACTATGATTAGTAAGTATCAATGAACATTAAGTAACTCTGAAAAGTAAGTATCTATGATCAGTAACTATGATCAATAATTAACTATGACTGGTAAGTATTTATGACCAGTAAGTATGTATGTATGATCAGTTACTAACTTTGAACACTTGTAAACAATGACTTGCAACTTTTGTAACACAACACATGTCTGAGACTAGGCCGGCAGCAGTCACTTCGTTCCGGGGATGTTTGAACCAGTTGGGAATCATAAGCACAGATGTTCGGGATTTGTTTTGGAACAAAGATCAAGCTATTTCAATGAAACTATGGAGTTATTCTTCTTTATAATTTTACTAGTATATAAAACGGATCATGGGGAATCGGTGGACTATATATATACATATATATATCTGATATAGGAACAATCGGAACATTTTAAGAAAAAAATATTATAACTTTTCCATTTTTCAACAGATTTTCTTCAAATTTGGTATATAGTCATTATATATTAATCTTGAATTTTGTGTAAAATGTTATGAAAATCGGACTAATATATCATATAGCTGCCATACAAACGATCATTAAAAATAGAGAAAAATTCGCTTCGAATTTATAAAAATCCATAACTAAGCCAAAAAAGTATTAATTTTAATTTGGAAAGCTGTTCTGTGCTTGTTTTGGATAGGTTAATAAATCTTCATACCGCAAATAAATTTTAAAGCTACTAAAATTTTTGTCAATTTTTCAATATGTTAACAATGACAAAAAAACGCATAAAAAATTTTTTTAAAAATTTCAAAAATTTGTTTCTCTCCTTTATGTCTAAAAAGATTCGCCTGTTGATGCTGATCAAGAATATATGTAATTTATAGGGTCGGAAATGACTCCTTCACTTACTTTTAAGCTTCTGACTGAAGGTGCAATCCCAGTTTTTAACTGATTTAACTATATTTTTATATGCAAATTTTACTACAAATCAAAATTTAAAATATCATAACTAAGCCAAAAACGCATTAATTTTAAATCGGAAAACTGTTCTATGCTAGTTTTTATTACCTTGATAAATCTGCATACATTTTAGATAAAAAATAAATTTAAATTTTTATTAATTTTTTGACCATTTTAATGATAAAACCACTTAAAAACTTTCAAAAAAAAATTTTCAAATTATTTTTTCTGTCAGAGGTGGCTAAATCGATTCCCCTGTTGATGCTGATCAAGAATATATATGGTTTATAGGATCGAAAATGACTCCTTCATAGAGTAACAAGCTATTAACTAAACTTCTAATACCTTAAAAAGTCATACAAATCGTGTCAAAATATATTACTTTAAGGCTTGAAAGGTCTTGGAAAATATATAATTAAGTATATTTATATATTTTTACATTCTTTATTTGAAAACTTTTAATTTTTCTACCCACACAACACTTTCCCAATCAGTTAAGATCCACTTTCTGGCAATTAAAATTCGATTGAAATCGCCACGAGGTGAACACGCCACGCCTTTGCCTTTTAATTTTTCCCACACCAATTTTGTTAAAGGGGGCGTACCGAGGGGGAGGGGGGACCATGAACCCCAATATCGGGAGGGAAACCCCCTTCTCCCCCCCCCCCTTGAAACAAAAAGCGCAGTCGCATTTCATTTGGGATTCCGTGAGCGTTTCGGTTCAAACATAAAATAAATAAAAATCAGTACAATTCGAAGAGCTGGTGTGTGAGAGACGCCTTTGAGCTTTTGCGACAATCACTCACGTTGCCATTTGGTTCCGTCTCCAGGTGCCCCCTCTTAGCCCCTCTTAACCCCTCCTCTTAACCCCTGGTTGGCCAAACCCTTCCTCGAGCGTTCAATCATCGGCAGATCGCCTTTGAGTTTGTCTTCGGTTTTTATTTCGTTTAAACGTTCTGCGTATTGAAATGAAATTTGTGTCGCTCGACACGATGACTTATTCAATTATTCGATACGAATACCACGTGATTGAATTATTGAATTGAAATTGAACACAGAGAGTGGAGAAGGAGACCCAAGACCCAAGCGGAAAACTAGAGGTTTTACAAATGTACAAGTTTAAAGAGATTAAATTCACTTCACAAAGAAAGCATTTAAATAATAGGTATTTGCCACAGAAAATCCTATAAAAATAATCTTGAAAAATCTCAATAAAATCCATCTTAGTTGACCTTCTGAAATCTTTCACTTTAAAAAACAAACCTCAAACCAAAACTCACCAACTCAGGCCTCACACAAACTCTGAGATAAAAAATTGCTCGTTTTTAGTTAATTTCTGAAATGGATACTCCACCATCTCCTCCTCCCAATCCTCCTTCACTGACGAAGCAGGAAGATGAGTACCTGGACACCAGTGAGGAGGAACTGGCCCAGAATCAAACTCGTCGTGAATCTGTGCATTATGCCACAATTGCCGAGTTTTTGGCCAGTCTCAAGAGTGTCCAGGAGAAGGCACCCTGTCTGGAGGACTATCTGGGAGCTGTCAGATATCCAGTGCAAGAGTCACCCGGTGATGGAGATCCTGTTAAGGAGAGCCGGGATCAGGCCAAGGACTAAGATGATATCGAAAAACTTGCACCTTCACTATATTACGTTCTTGGTGAATAGTATTTAACTTAATTAAAAGAAAGTTTAAGAATTCAAGTTAATTGAGTTGTTTAATATCAAGTCTTTGGGAGATCTGTAGGAATTCAAAGCTATTATACTGTAAATTAATTTAGTAATTTTATAGTTACCTAGTTAATTGTGTTAACTAAAGTTAATTAGAACATGTATTAAGACTCTAAATAAGAAAACTCTACGCATTGCATTGAGGGATTTGTTTTTCTTACTAAAATTAAAGGTCACAATTAAAATTAGGTGTAATAGCTGCATTAATTTGAAATTATCTCCTCTATTTTAAGCTATATGATATAATACTCAGATTTTCATAACATCTTACACAAAATTCCAGACTAATATACAATGGCTATATATTAAATTTGGTAAAAATGTGTTACAAACTAAAAAAGTTATATATATTTTTTTTTAATTTACCGATCGTTCCTATGGCCGATATATATATGTATATATATAGTCCACCGATTCGTCATACTCCGACTTATATTCTAGTAAAATTATATAGAAGAATAACTCCATAGTTTCATTCAAATGCTCTTAAATTTGCTTCAAAACAAATCTCGCACATTTGTGCTTATGATTCCCAAGAGGTTCTAACATCCCCGGAACGAAGTGACTGCTGCTGGCCTAGTCTTAGAAATGTGTTGTGTTACAAAAGTTGCAAGTCATTGTTTACAAGTGTTCAAAGTTAGTAACTGATCATACATACATACTTACTGGTCATAGATACTATCTCATCATAGTTAATCACTGATTAAAGATACTTAATGATCATAGTTAATTAATAATTTAGTTACTTAGTGGTAATAGATACTTACTGCAATAGATAATTACTGATCATAGTTATCTACTGATCATAGTTACTTAATGTTCATAGATACTTATTGATCATAGTTACTTAATGTTCCTTAATACTTACTTATAGTGAATTACTGATCATAGTTCCTTACTGATCATGGTTATAATTACTGATACATACTGATCCTCTACATTTAACTTTAACTTAACTTTAACTTTTTCTCTGGCAGTTATATTAATATAGTTTTCCGATTTTCATCATGAATCAAATTAGATAAAAATATGTTTAAAACTGAAAAAGTTTTAATTTTGTCTTTGTACAATTTTTCTTGCCTAATTTTAATATTTGTCCCAATGCTCCTGTTGCCTTGAATCCTTGTAGATAAATTAAGAAATTAGGCAAACACGTGTACGAACAAGTAATAAACTTGTGGATTTTCTTTTTTTTATTTTTATATACATATATTTTTTATTGTAGATCAAAGTCAAGGGGGGAATGGGCTTTGGGGCATAAAAACTCACTCGTTTGACAGCTCATTTTGCATAATTGTGCAGAGCGACAGGCAACGCATACGAATTGATTATTGAACCGAATTGAATTCCCTGCCACAAGATATACCCTTAACTTCTATATATATATATATATGTGGATTTTTTATGGTTTGATTTATGATTGCCAGTCAACCGAGCCTCAAAGTCGAAGTTCCTTAACGATTGGGCATCAAAAATGCTAATTGAGCTGTTTATCGATTTGTCAACAACAATAAGTCGCATAACAATTTCAAACAATGGTCACATTGCCGGCGAAAATTATTTCATTTCAATTGTTGTTTTGGGGCTTTTTTTTTTTTTGTATTGTACTCCATTGAGTTTTATTGCCTATTAAAATTGTGTCAAAATGTGTTTGAAATTTTTTATTGTTAATTATACACGCGGCGGGCGTAATGTGGAACCAATAAACAATATCGACCATCGCAATTGGAATTCGGTGTTAATCTTTTGTTGTTTTCCGTTTTTTTTTTGTTTTTTTATATTTATTTCGAGTTCATTGGAATACGGGGAATTAATTTGGCCAACTAATTAAAGTATCAGTAAAGGCGGGCAAGCGTGAAACCGAAACCAAATCAAAATCGAATTCCAAAATAAAATAAAAGCAAAGAAAAACGAAAATCGCTCAAATGAATAGACAGCCGGATCGGACAGGCTTCAAGTTCAAGTTTTGCACAGATGCAGGGCCATACACTGTTAGAAAATGTGGGTAATTACAGGGGGAAGTTTTTACATTTAAAATTAGGTGAAGAAGTGAAGGCTGTGAAAGGTATCTTGGAATAGAGTTTAGATGGGGGATTTAATTAATAATATTAGTAATTTCTATATTTTTACGCCTTTTAGAGACCTATAAAAATTATTAAATATTTATTTAATGAGACTCTTTATTTAGCAAATTTTCTTGGGAATTTTATTGCCTAAAATAAGTTAAAGCAATTAATGTCAGGTAACTAGTTGAAATATAATGATAAAATAATTAAAATAAAGAAAATAATTAAAAATAGTAAGAAAACCCAATTTTTCTTCCTATTATTTGATTAATTTCTATATTTTCAGGGCCTTTTTTCTAATGAACTCAGTTAGAGAGTTGTAAAAAATGTTTAATATATATGGAAAATGATAGTGTCATAAATTCAGGCAAAGAAAAATAGATTAAATTAAGGTTTTAAAAGCAAATTCCATACCATATTGAAATAATTTAAATAGTTATAAATTTAAATTGTATGATATTCGTACCTATATATATATAGAATATAAATGTATACTTTAAATAATAGTTATTAAATTTATATTGTAAGATATTCGTACCTTAAAATACATAGAATATTAATTTTTCTAATGAGACTCTTAAATATTTAAAGGAATTTTTTAGGGGATTATAACCCTTATAAATTAAAATTCAGAAACAAATTTTGTTAGTATTTTAAATGAATTACTATATTTTTTAGATCTCTCTTTATCTATAAAACTTAAAAGAGGCCCTTAAAATGTACCACAAATATTTATTACATATAATTGAATGATATTCTTAAATATTTATTCGATTTTTCCGTCAGTGCAGAAGCCAAGTGGAAAGGGACTTTTGCTCAGAGTTTGAGTAATGAGCTTTGGAGTTCCACTGACCGTCCTGACTGAATGACTGACTAAATGACCAAATGACTGACTGAATGGCTGAGCGAGTGACTGACTGAATGAATGACTGACTGACTGACTGACTGACAGAACCCCGAAAGAGATCGCGGGGCTTGCTCCTGACTGACATTTGATTATTGGCTTCCAATTTGTTGCAGATTCTGTTTTTCTTTTTTTAGTTTTTGTTCCTCCCCATTCAAGCGCAAATTGCGTGCCTGGCAATCACGGTTCGCAAATTTGCAAATTTGTTGGAAAAAAAGGAATATATATATATATATAGAAGCCAGCTACCAGAAAGAGATGGCACGAGGCCCAGAGAAAGAGACAGCGAGAGAGTAGAGGGCCGAACAGAAGTCAAATTGTGGCCAACATGGAAATTAATGGAGCAATGGAGCGATCGGAGATCGGAGATCGCAGATCAGAGTTGGAGTTGGAGAAAAGATCACGGCTGCTGTCGTTTTGCTACCTTTTTTAGAGTTGCCAAAAGGGAATGTTTTTTTATACAAAAATATAATATATATAAATAAATAAAAGGGATGACTAGCAAGGGAAAATATGTATACATTCCTTAAAAAAAGAATCATAAAAGAATAACAAGTAAAGACATTAATAAGGTATATAAAATTTATAAATTCAATATTTTGAAGTAGCTGTCGAAGCAGTTTGCAATTGAACTATGAAATCAAATCGGAAATCGATCATAACTAAGCTTAAAATCTCAGCATTCTTTGAATCGATATATATCGATACATATCAAAGTTTAAAAAACTCATAACTAAGCCAAAAAAGGATTAATTTTAACTCTGTAAGTTGTTTTATGCTTGTATTTAATAGTTTAATAAATCTGCATACTCAATTCCGAATTTAACCAAATTAAAATTTTTATTATTTTTCAAAGTTTGAAGAGTGTAAAAATGACAAAAAAAATTGAAAAAAAAATAAAAAAAAATTTTTTTGCGAAAGATGGCTAGATTGATTTGGCTTTTGATGCTGATCAAGAATATATATGATTTATAGGGTTGGAAATGACTCCTTCACTTAGTTTCAAGCTTCTGACTAAGATTATAATACCGTAAAAGGGTAAAAAATGTATTAAAAGAAATTTATCTTGTTTATATATTATTTATATTATTTACACTATTTATTTATATATTTTTCCCCTATTTACTCCACTTTTCCCTTGAGAAAAAGAGACAAACTCGTCAACACTGACGATGTCTTTGGCTGCTGGCAAATCGGCGGCAGGAAAGGAGTTATTAAGACGAAGCGGGATGGCCATAGTCGCCATAGAGGTTGCCTTAGTCCACCTTTATTTTTATTTTTTACTTCTTTTTTATCTTATTTTATTTTACTTTACTTTTTGTTCGTACTTTTCGCTCTGTTTTCTGTTTAATGAAGGCAGTTCGATCGATTTGGCTGGCAGCGAATCGTGGCAGTTCCAGACGCCCCGATTTCCAGTTTCAGTTTGCAGATCGGAGTGTTAGAGATGACACTTGTATTGTGTTATTTTCTTTTATATTTTATATACTTTATATACTTTATATATTCTATATATTTTATATATTCTATATGATATATGATATTTTATATATTTTATACATTAAATTTTAAATGTAAACTATTTATTTTTTATAGAATACAAAAGTAATGCATTTGAGGAAGAAATTTAATTTTATGGGGCCTTTTTAAAGGTTTGGAATATATTTATGGGATCTAAAATGTATTTTGAAGGACTTCAGGTTCATTTCAATATTAGTTGAAAATATATGAATATTATTTATTAATTATGTGAAATATATACTCAATAAAATATAGAAAAAGATTTAATTTTATGTTTCTTAAATTAGTTCTTTATATTTTTAAGGCCTACAAAATATTTTTAGGCTTTATTAAATGTCTTGGGACACATCAGTTTCTTTTTAATATGAGATCGATTTTTACATATTATTATTATTTTTTTTTTTGGTTTTATAAAATGTAAACATAATAAAATAAATGAAAAACATGCATTTTATAGGCCTTTTAAATTAGTTATTTCTGTTATG